CCTCCCTCCCCCCCCCTCCACCCAACCAGCCTTGGGGTGCCATCTGCGTGGCCCATCCAAACGGCCAGGCCAGAGCCAGGGGACCCCGGCTGGACCTGCCGCTGCTGCCGTGCCCAGTAGCCCAGCCTTGCCAGCAGCCTCCTCAGCAAAGGATTTGGCAGCCCACAGTGTGTTAAGGGACCACAACCGTGACATAAATTTGCTCGACAAAACAAACAAACAAACAAATGAATAAACGAAGTGTTGCCCGTGGTGCCTAACAGCAAAAGGGATCCCCTTTCCTAATGAGCCCTCCTCCCAGGCGTTCTCCTCATCACCCCGATAAGGAAACTGGGGGGCTGCATTTACCTAACCTTGTTACTGAGGGAGCCTATTTTGTGGGTTTGCACATGGCGAAGCAAAACAAAGTGATTCCAGGCATTTGACGGGCTGTTAACGCCACAAGCTAAGCCCAAGAAGACTCACCGCGCTTAAAATGAGCATCCTGCGCACACCCAGCCCTAGATCCCAGGTGCTCCTTTTGGAACCGGAGCAGCCCCAGCCTGGTGCCTCCCAGGGCCCTGGAGCGCGGCTCCCAGAACTCCCAGCCCTCGCGGCCTTTGGCTCCGTGTGTCTGAGGGACAAGCGTTCGGCTAGTGACCCTCTTTCTGAAGGGAAGCAGCTGAAAAGAGCCCACTGGCAAAAGTTGCATGCAAGGAGAGAAAGAATCTCCTTTACCTTTACCAGATTCAGGGGTGTCTGCAGGGCAAGGTCAAAAAAGTCAAGAGGGCAGTCACAACGGTGCAACTGAAGCTTGACCGGATTTTTTTAAATGTGTGTTGCATGCACCCTATTTTAGAAAGAGCCCGTCTTTATATTGCTTCAGATAAATTCACTTATCAGGAATGCAAATGGGGTGATTTGTCTATAAAAAAGGTCATTGGACAACATATTTTACTTGTTACTTCAATTAAGGGAAGATCCGTATGGCAAGAGGCATTGCAAATGCAAACTGTTACAACCTTTTCTGCAGAGAATGAGCAGTAGAAAGGTTTTTTGTTTTATTTCCCTTTTTCGCAACCTGCATACCCCTGTCCCAAGTGGCTGGATTCACACAACAGGCTTATCCTGAATACTCAATTTTCTTGAACCATGAATTATTGAAATGGATTGGGTTTGCACTTTATGCCAAACCACTCCTCCCTCTCCTCCCCTGCCAGAAAGCTTCCAAGGCTAACATGAAGCAAGGTTAGTAGGCTGTGTGCGTGCGATTGCTGACCCGATGGGTGTGTTCTACTGATCCGGGCAGCGTTTGCCCAGCTGAGATTCCTGGAGAGAGCCTGTCTGTAGTGCCCCCAGCGGGCCATGCCCAGAGCCGAGCAGGTACCCGAGGAAAGCCACGCTGGGCCATCGCGCTCCGACCCTAAACCCTCACCCTGCACTCAGCATCTGCTTTTGGCACCAGCTCAAGTCACACCTCATCTTCTGGGCTTTGGTTCCCTTCTGACATATTTGCAGCTGCCCTTTATGTATGGTTTTCAAAGACGGCCTTGGGCTGGGGCGGGGGAGAGGAGGGGTCTGCCCTATTTTGGCCCATATTTCATTTTTATTTTTATACAGTGAAACATCTTGCCAGTTGAACAACAGTAGTAACAGTAGACATTGCAGAACTTCGGGCATGGATAATTCAAACCACATGAAAGCCGGGCTGCTCCTTGGGATGAAATATTACAGCCTAGAAGCTTTATAGACGATACAAGCGGATGATCCGCTTAAAAGTCAGCTTACGATGGAGCGTCGCTGTCTCTGTGGCCCCACCGGGAGGGCCTGGCGTTATAAAAAGGGCGGCCTTTGAGATCCCTCCTTTCCCCTCCCTCGCAACCATTTTCCTGGCAGCAATACGGAAGCGGTTTGCAGTTGCCTTTTTCTGGATGTTTTTTCGGGGTCCAGTCTAGCCTTCAACTCTGGGGTGTTCTCATCCATGCACAGACTCACCTGTTCAGGTGTTAGATCAGGTAGAAGGAAGGAAGGGATGGCGTGACAGCTGCCAATAGCCAGCCACCCCTGGAATGAGGAAGAATGGATTTTCTCCCAGATCCACCCTACTGTGTTTTTAAGACTGCAGAAGTGCTGTCAGGGGGCCTTCAAAATATCGCGTGCCCACCTTTAATCCTACATTTAGGAATAGCAGCCAGGAGGAGGAGGAGGAGGAGGATATTCAGGAGGAGAGAAGGGAGGAGGGTGTTCTCTGTTACGCCAGAGTGCAGGATCGGAACCGGTGGGTTGAAACCGCAGGGAAGTAGATCCAGGTTAGCCCTCAGGAGCGGAGAGACCTCAGCCAGGGGAACAGGCTCCACCATGAAGCCGTGTGCCCCCCTTCACGGGAAGCCTCCGAAGAGGGGCTGCAGAACCAGCCCTCTCTCTGCATTGCTCAGCAGATCACGCACCGAGCAAGGCGTTGCCCTCAATGACCTCCGAGGTCGGGGGGTACACAGGGAGGCCAAAAAAGCCAAGACGTCAGGCACAGCGGTGCAACTGAAGCTCTGCCCTTTTTCACGGGCATCACCGTGTACTTAAAAAAGGGCAAGGCTTCAACTGCATGGTTGTGGCCACCATCTTGACTTCTTTGGCTCCTCTGCAGACCCCTGTCTGAGGCCCCTTCCACCTCTAGATTCTGGGACACGGGACTGTTCTTGCAAACATCCTCAGATGAGGTGGGGCTGGCTCCTTCCCTCTCACGTCCGACCTCCAACTTTTATCCAGTCGGTCCGTTACCTCTTGCACCTGGCAAGGGGAGACACTGTCAGGGTTGGCAGGGAGGCTGAAGACCTGCAGGACAGCCAGCCCATCCGGAACGGTAATGGAAAGCAGCATTGCCTCTGAGCAGAGCTGGCAGCAGCCGTTGGCAGTCCCAAGCCAGGGTGGCGGTGGCGGTGGAGCTCAGACTGCCCCCGTGCGATTTTCCTGCCTGTCGAGCAAGCCACGCACTTTCAGGATATGCCTTTAGGATCACAGTCGGTGGGTGTGGGAAAGACAAGACAGGTCGCTCTTGATGGCGTGGCGGGCAGTTGCTGAATTAACCACTCCCCGACAGGCGCTGTTTCTCCCTCACGGCACACAGTGATGCAGTAACTGAGGTGCCCCCCTTCCAAAGGTCACAGCTTGTGAAA